GTTCGGAGAGTGGCTTTGTCCAATCTGTATGCAATGATTTTTTAAATAATATCCAAATGGAGTCTCTTTCTGTCAGCGACTCTGAAAATCTGAATGCCCCCATCACACACCACGAAATTGAGAAAGCAGTAATGGACATGCGTAAGGGCAGGTCGCCAGGCCCAGATGGTATTCCACCCGAATTCTATCTCACCTTTTGGCCCTTGCTCGGCCCCTTGCTTGTAGAGATGATATTATTTTCTATTAAGGAGGGTTCATTTTTGAGAGACGTCAACACTGCCCTGTTATCCTTGCTTCTTAAAAAAGGCAAGGATCCGACAGAGTGTACTAGTTACAGGCCCCTCTCACTCTTAAACACTGACGTAAAGATCTATGCCAAAGTGCTGGCTAGGCGCCTTCAGTCTCACATGACGGATCTAGTACATAGCGATCAGACAGGCTTTATAAAATCCAGGCTAGCCGCTGACAATGTAAGGAGGCTATTACACATCATAGATGGGTCCCAACATCTACCTTCCCCAGCTGCAGTTCTCTCACTTGATGCGATGAAGGCCTTCGATCGCCTAGAATGGCCCTTTTTGTGGTTGGTACTCGGGGCAATGAGCTTTGGCGCCCCTTTTATTGACATGGTCAAGGTGCTATATAAAAACCCAACAGCTATGGTGCTTACAGGCAAGGTATGCTCCCCATCTTTTGCTATCTCGAGAGGATCAAGGCAAGGCTATCCGCTAAGCCCCTTGCTATTTGCGCTGTCACTTGAGCCGCTGGCACAGACCATTCGTCAGTCACGTTATCCCCAATCTCTATTAATGGTACGCATCATCATCTTTCGTTATATGCTGATGATGTGCTATTGTATTTGGGCAATGCTGTACAATGTATCCCAAGAATACTGTCTATTGTCGATCGATATGGTCAGCTTTCTGGGTTTAAGATAAATTGGCAGAAATCTGCTTTGATGCCACTGAACGAAGCAATGATCGATGCACCTGTCTCTCCATCTATCCCAGTTGTCAAAACTTTTACATACCTGGGGATAGACGTTTTTCCTTCGATTCAGACAATAGTTAAACATAACTATGGTAACACGCTTCATAAAATAATTTCTGATTTGGATAGATGGTCTTCTCTGCCTAATTCACTTCGCAGCCGTGTATCAATAATCAAGATGAACATTCTACCCAGAGTTAATTTTTTTAGTTCAATGCTACCTCTTCCTCCACCAACTCAGTATTGGAGCAAGCTACAGACAGCTGTGACGAAATTTGTATGGCAAGGCAAACGCCCTCGCATCAAGCTCTCTACAATGCAGCGGGACAGACAGGCCGGGGGTTTGTCTCTCCCAAATATTAAACACTATTATTGGGCCTTCACGCTTAGACCCTTATTAACCTGGCTCCAGTCGGAGACATCAGTGTCATGGCGGGCCCTGGAAGAGAGTCTAGTGCATCCTTACACCCTTCAAGATCTCTTGTATTCGAACATTCCTATTGCGCAGTGTCGTTGCAGGTTCTGCCCCATTGTATCACAATTGCTGTCTGTCTGGAGGGCGGTAGAGAAACTATGTGGCTGCCCCTATGCTTGGAATCCATGTTCCCCATTATTTAACAATGCCAGATTGTTGATTGGGGGCCATCCCATTCAGTTTCATCAGTGGAAAGTGAGAGGGGTTCATATACTGGGGAACGTCTATGGAGATGAAGGTCTGCGTTCGTTTCGGGAGCTGTGTACAGAATTTGATTTACCTCGTTCCTCCTTTTTCTTTTATTTACATTTGAGGTCGGCTTTAAGGGCTAGCGGTATTCCATTGCAAAGTCCTCTATCACCACACCCGCTGCATAACATTCTACACTCCACTAGAGGTACAAGTGGCCTTGTTTCCAAACTTTACTGGTTCATTTCACAACACGCTTATAGACCCCTGGCGTTAGAGGCGATATGAAGGGCCGATATCCCAGATCTGGATCCAGAGTTTGATTGGGATGAAGTCTGGTCCAATATACTAATAGCTTCTAGGAATCCTGACCACCAGCACATACATTATAATTTTACTCATAGAGTTTACCTCACGCCTAGGAAGCTTTGTTTAATGAAAATAATTGCTGATCCAAATTGCACTCTATGTGACGTAGAGGCTATTGGTACTTATTTACATATGTTCTGGGAATGTCCGCCAGTAGCCAGATTCTGGGAGATGGTTGCCTCTAACCTTTCGGCGATATTTGAGACTAACGTGCCTCATTCACCTGTCACACTTATCTTAAACGACCTGTCCAACCTGGGTTTAACCCTGACCAAAAGGCGAGCACTATTAGCCGGGCTTACAGCAGCAAAAAAATTGGTTGCGACTCGGTGGAAGCCTCCCCATTCCCTATCACGTAAGGTCTGGGTTCTAACATATCTAGACATATCGTATCTAGAAATATCGACAGCCCGGGTACATGGGGCAAAGGAGTCAACAATAGAGATGTGGACTTCGCTCATTGTGAACCTCAAGGGCATATTAGGATAACTATCTAATGGGGATGGTGATCTGGATGGGTGGGTGGGGAGGGACGTCACGTCACTGGGTTTTGTTTCTTTCTTTAGTTTTGTGCTGTTTTTGTAATGTATTGCATTTTATGTTATTGATTGTACCATTTCTTTTATAAATAAAACATTTGATCACAAAAAAACATTAGAAAGACTGATTCTTATTATTATATTATAAGCTTATTGTGCTCATTTATGTGGCTGTGACTTTGGAATAAATAGACGTCTTTAGCCTGCAATACAGAGTAGCAAGGTCAGGTGCAGACACTGGAAGAATACAAAGAGTTATTCATAAACAGGACATCACTCCGGCTTGAGCTTTGGGTGAGCTCCACTCCCACACATAGCTAGGAAGCAGCCTTATGAAGATTCCACTTTTTCTGTAGAAACGTTAGCGAAAGCAAATTACGTATGATGGTGCCAGAGTAGGGAGGGACTTCCACAGGCCGGCCGAATGCTGATTGGAAGGTCGTGTTGCCAAGAGACTCTGTCTGAGTCTGCGCACCTACCAAAGAGAGCCAGGTCTAAACCACGGTATCTCTTCAGCTAGTCTTGACCAATCATAAATGTACGGGCAACGCCCTGTGTAATAAAAATGTATGCACGCACGAGGTTCGGGGCTTTTTCCGGAAATAGTGGTTACAGATTACAGCTTTGCTGCCTGTAATTTCTATGACGTGACGGAGTCCTTGGCCAAGTGAATATATATCTATTGCTTTCTGATAATAAATAGTTAAACTTAGAAGTTGTCTGTCTTTCCTGGAATTTTGAACACAACAAATGCCATCTTTTGAGCGTACGCCACGGTTATAAATACCGAAACTCCACCAGGAGATTGTGTCTTTCCTTTGCACGTTTAAAGACAACGAGCAACACACATCTTGGAGTGCATGTTGGATGAACAGTTTATGCCAGAAGTCTACTTTCTGTGTGAGATTTTTGGACACTTGAACTCTTAAAAAACGTTGTGCCTTCAGGACAAAGATAAGGCTCTTCAAAACAGACCTGATGACAACAAAACTGCTGCACTTCCCACAACTCTGTGTATTTATGAGCACATCACCTGGAGCACACAGAATGCCAGTCATGACAGACTTCATGACACAATTGACTGAGAACTTGGGAACTTGAGATTCCAAGGCTTCAGCATTCCCATTGAGGTGTTGCAGTTTGCTCGTGACACATTTTCCATCAAGCCTGATGCAGATTTCTGTGTAAAAGTAAAAGAGGTAATATCTTGCATTGATGAGAGCATCTTTCAGATGGAGCTGGTTGATGTGCAGTCTTCCTTTGCTTTAAAACAGCACTTGCAGTCTGAGGGTGAGGTAGACTTTTGGTCTAACCATGTTAGCCAGTATCAGTACCCCACAATGAGGAATGTGGCCTCACTTATACTGACAACGTTTGGATCTACCTATACTTGTGAGTATAGCTTTTCTCATATGAATGCCATCAAACAAGGGCAAGTTGCTCCATGACTAATGAGAAGTTGCATGAGAGGCTCAAAATGACAGAAGTCTGATATGTATGGTAGTTCAATTGTAGTTCATCACCTGACTTAGGAATGTAATGCATTCTTAGTGTAAATGCAAAGACAGATCTGATTTATGATGATTCAAACAAGCCTTCTTACTGTTCAATTGTAAAAATGTATCCAAGATATGTATGTTATTGTGAGTCTGATGGCTATTGTTTTACTATGTTCTAGTTGCCTTTAGTATTTCATTTTATGGGCTGGATATGGGCTTGTTTTCAAAGCACCTTATGTATGCTTGGAAGTGTTGAGGATATTATATAAACAGGGCTACTTATCGTTAATGTGATGAATACTGTTTTATTATATTCATCTTTATTTCTACATTAGTGGATATGGACCTGTTGGGACATAAACTCATGTCTCCTTTGTTTTAAAGATGCAACATTTTGCACTTTTGTGTCAAGCCTTGTAACCATAGCTTTCCTATTTTTTTGTATGGACTGGTTGCTTTCTGCAATGAATTATAGTGATACAATTCAAGTGAAAAAAGAGATGCATGTGAGTACTTCATTTCATGAATTAGTACCTATTAACACTACTGTAAGTAAGAGTTATTTGTAGTGATTCATTTAAAAAGTATTGTGTGGCCCACGGACCCCCAGTGATTTTCCTATTTGGCCCAATCAACACAGAACCCATCCTGGACTTCAGTTTGTCCTTCAGACAAGACTGAGAAGACAACATCCCTCATTCTTCTCCACCCCTTCCTCTAAAATTCATTATTACCAAACAATATGCTGTTTAAAGACAGGGGGGTTGCATAAAGATGCCTTTACTTGTGTATGCTGGGTGTAAGGAATTTCCTCTTTAAACCTTTTGACCACTTCGGGAATTCCTTAAATAGTATTTACTTGTATAAAGAAATACATTGTGGCAGATATCACAGCATTGTGAACCCTTTTGCATGACTCAGTTTCCAAATAGTACTTACAGCATCGATGCCAGACAGCTGCATCCCGATGTTAATGACCACCACACTCAGCACCTGCCAGCGGACCGTGTTGTCCTGCAACAGCTTCCATACGGACAGCGTCTCCACTGACGACAAGGAGCGCTGCTCCTCCTGCATCTCTTCAATCTCCGCCTGGATGTTACACTTGGCTCTGTACCACTTCAGGGCTGAGAGAAAGAAAACATGTGAAACACAAGTCAATATAACGAAGGCAGCTGGTATATTTTACTAGATAATAGCCATATTGCAATACAAATATATTTCTCAAAATGTACTTCTACTAAACTGTGAAGAAAAATTATTTCCTATTTTTTTTGCCATTAACGCACCATTATTCTATTTTAATGTGCTTTAGCGCTGAATCCCTTCTTTTTGTTAAGCGTCCACTTGTTGATGTGGACTGACCTGTAATGGTGGCATGGACGTTCTGCTTCTCCATCAGTAGGTATCTGGGGCTTTCTGGGAACCATGGCAACAGCATGAACTGGATGATTGTGGGTACCACCACCACTGAAAGAAACAGGGGCCAGTGCTCCTCCTATAACAGTCACAACACAGTTATACTTTCAAGAAAGCTGAAAATGTTAAGTAATTTCGCACATGCAGACACTTCCTGGCCATGTATCACCACTGTCCCACCCTAAGACCATGCATTTCAGGGAAAATGTCAGCAGGTCTGTGTGTGAAAGAAGTAACAAACATGTGAACAGAGGATTTTACCTGAAACCAGTGATGTTCATTTTAATGTGTGTTCCTCCATTAAGTAGATCACATAAATCATGATTTGCCTCACACACTTGGCAAATAATAAATACATGTCAAAAACATTCACAATAAGTACTCATGAGCTCAGGTAGCCACCTTAACCAATGGTCCCCCTCTCAAACCAATGGGTGTTAGAGAGCACTGTTGACTACCTTTCCCAGAAGCTCATGTAGACCGAGGATTTGTGCGGTGAACACTCCGGTGCCAATAAAGATACTCGGCACAAGTCCAAGGAAGCCTCGCAGGTTCTTCGGAGCTATCTCACCCAGGTACATTGGGACCACACTAAGAGAGATGCCTGCAGTTAAAATAAGCAGAGAAGAAGATATATGTCACAATGCACTGATTAAAAATAATTGTGCTATAACTATAGAGTAAAACAATATGGACTATCTGCGCATACAGTCAACAGACATACAGGTACAGGTACTGAACGTTACCATAACACAATACCAAAATGGGTGATGCTGCCTGAAAACTCAAATTGGATTAAAATGGAAACATTCTGACTTGATGCCTGGGAATGGAGGTCAGGGTTTTCACTATTTCAAAATATGAATTATTGTGAAACTCAGATCAAGATAGCGCAAGACCGTCTGGACAGTTATGAAAACCAAAGCCGACGACAGAACGTGAGGATTATCGGTCTGAAAGAAGGCAAGGAGGGCAAAACAAGTTGATTTATTTGAAAAGTGGATACCTGATGCCCTGGGCCCAGTAGTTCAAAACTTTGAATCCCTATCTGATCGGATCAGATTTGGATTTTGGGTAGTTCAAAACCAAAAAACAGAATTAGGATCACTTTGATATCTGATCAGATCAGGAAATCAAATCCAAGCTTTAATCTGGATCAAATCAGTTTGATCCCAAAAAACTTGATTATCTTGATCCCACCAGAGGGGTGGATTTCCAGTGGATTACCAGAGCAAAATGTACTGTACAATTTATTTAAAAATATGTTTCAATATAAATAAGATGGCAAAGTTTGTTAACTGAAATAATACACAATTTTTAGCCTTCATGGCAAATCAATTTTATTTTTCATTTTTTGGTCACGTTTGTGGTGTCCTATTTTGTTTTCAACCAAATGTTGATTACATAAATGTTTATGCTCATAAAAGTATCACAACAAAGATTGTCAATCACAAATGTAATTTAGATTAAAGAAAAAATATCTTCAAAAAACAAAAAAGTCCATCATCTGTCATCACCTTTCAAAAGTAATTGCGGACAATAGCATCTGCACCACCAATCCATAGGTGGGCCTAGATCATCAGCAGGTGCAAGGGGCTCTGGGGGATCATCAATGTCAGAGAGGGGGACTCTGCGATGGACAGCGATATTGTGTAGCACAATACAAGCCAGTGTTATGCGGCATGCTCGTTGGGGTTCCACTCTCAGATAGTTCAGGCATGCAAAACGCCTCTTCAGTACTCCATTCAAGCGCTCAATGGCACACCTTGTTCTTCCATGGGCATTGTTGTAGCGCATCTGTGAGGGAGTGTTGGCCGTGGGAAAAGGTGTCATCACCCATGGTAGGAGTGGGTAGGCACTGTCGGCTAATATAACTCCATCCGGCCTGTTGATTTGGAATTCAGTGAACAACCGGCTCTCTCTGAAGATTCGTGCATCATAGACTGACCCAGGCCATCTCACAACACAGTTGGTGATGGCAAGGTCAGCATCTCCCACAAGTTGCACATTGATGCTGTGCCAACCTTTCCTGTTGACATATTCCCACTCCCTCTGATGAGGTGCTTGAATATGCACATGGGTGCAGCCGATCACCCCAATGGTGTTGGGCATGTCTCCCAAAAGAAAAAACTTCCGCTTCACTTTGGCAATCTGGCCATCATTGGGAAAAGTCACAAAATGATCCAGCAGGCGAGCCAGTGCATCAGACACAGCTGTCACCACTTCACCCACTGTTGTCTTGTGGACTCCCATGCTGTCAGCTATGACCTGATAAAATGTTCCACATGCGTAAAAGCGCAGGGCAATGAGGACCTGTTCCTCTACAGTCAGAGCATGACTCCGCAAGATTCTGCAATGCAGTTGTGGCCTGACCAGATCAGCAATGTAGTTGATGTCATCAAGTCCAAATCGAAAACGATCGTAAAGTTCTTCTGTTGTGTACTGTTGGAGAGGTTTGGGGCATTCGGTGTGGACCCTTTGGCGGTAACCTCTCCTTCCAGCATGGAATATGTGAACAATCCCTGCCATGACTGTGTTCTGACTGTTCTTTCAGTCAGTAGGCCTACATCAGTCTCTGAATAATTAGTAATTGCAAATACACACCTGCAATGCATGTCCAGATGTGTAATTAACCACAGGAGGGCCTGTGGTTAATTATGTAATTGATAGCAGGTAACGGCCAGACCTATACAAACTAATTGCTGACCTGACCAAACCAGTGAGTTGGAAAGATGGACAAAAAGGGGCCTAACTTTACATCTGCTGAGACCCATGCACTGCTTCAGAGTGTAAGGAATAATTATGACTCCATAGTTGGTAGCTTTAACAGAGAGGGTGGAGCGACTAAAGTAAAGAGCGGAATATGGATGGAAGTTACAGACAATGTGAATGCCACAGGATCTGGACACAAGAGGACGGTGGACCAAGTGAGGTTGAGGTGGAAGAATTTGAAGCAGCAAGCTACCAAAGACCACAGCCAGGCTAAAAACCCACAGACGGGTAACAAACCATATAAAAGGGGACCATACACAGATGTGGTACTTGATATCATTGGTGGTCAGCAGTCACAATCTTTACATGGAATACCAAACGTTGTACTGGATGGTGAGTCGCAGGTATGTGTGATTTTATCCTTGTCCCTATAGAACTACAATTATTATCTTGTATAATTGCTATTTTCAAAGTACTACAATGGCTATATTTCTTATATAGCATCCTTAGGCGCGTTCACACCGGAGTACTTTGGAGTACTTTTCCCACAATAGTTCATCAGAACTACAATATATTTGCGTTCACACCAAAAAGCCCCAGGAACTAAAGTAGTTCAAATGAGTTCGTCTGACCCGTTTTTCAGTCCCTGCTAGAGAGCAGGGACTGTTGTGGGAGAAAATAGTTCATACGTCTGATTGGCTGTGCGGAATGCAAACCACGCCCGTTTGACTCTGATTTTTTTTTTGTAAGTGGCCATTGTATTTGCTCGCTTCGGGCCAGCGTACCCGAAGAGATTACTTTTGTGAAAGCAGTTATTATAGCAACACTAAATAAATCATCGGAGCGGTGGAGTGATGAGGATGTGTCGGCGCTTCTGGCGATTTACTCGGAGGACGCGAAGCGCCGCATTCAGAAGCTTCTACTGAATGCAGTTTCCGTGGCTCAGCAAAGTTAGCAGACCTGGCTACGAAGGTAAAATAAAATACATGCACTGCACTGTTTTAATCTGCACAATACTGGTCTTAGATGTACTTTTCTTTGCTCAGTAGATCGAGCTAGCCATGCTAGAACTTGCTATCATAGGTCCAAGCTGGCTAACAACATCTAGCTAGCTAGCTATTCTCAGCCGTGCCCGCTATGAACACGTTTTGACTTGTGAATAAGTGTGCAATGTTCTGTAATTTGCTTCACTAACTCATGGCACTAATCGTGTGTTTCAGGCGAGGTGTTTCTCTCAGGATTAGAAACTAGTTTTCCCCTCCGGGATAAAACGATAATATAACGTTAGCAATTAGCATGCTAGCTGGACATAATGCTACCTCTAACAATACATTGTAGTTGCTATAATTTCAAGTCATTTGCAACATTCATTCTACATGTTAATGGTAAAAGCTTAAACAGTTGATTACCTGCATGCCACAAAGACTGATGTTCTAATATGTTTGCACATTTAAGTAGAAATGTAATTGAAATTCTATTTATTTTTCCTTTTTTTTATTGATTGTTATAATTGTACTCAGCCATGTTATGTTCATGCCCGGCGCCGTGGGAGGGCCAGGCCCTCCCATTTGACATTCCTGCCCTCCCCCAATAAACACGTTTTTTATTATTTCTAAACATTTTTTTTTAAATATTTTTTTATTTTTTTAATTATAAATAAACTGTGAACTTTTATGCTACGATGTATGTGATGTCAGATAGTAACTATAAAAAAAAATGGCAGGCTACGTCAAATAAATTCATGTGTCTGTTGTGATTTGTGATTCGTCCACATTTAGACCAATCACAGCGTCACACTCTGCCGCCTATTCTGGATTTGTTTATTGTTTATTGTGCATTCTGTAGACTCCCATTTCTGTTTGGATTACAAAATGGACATCAGAAATTGGCTTAAAAGGTCTAAGGATTTATTAAAACGAAAGAGCGATGAAAGAACTGCAGCCGATGGTGCTGCTGGCGTCCCTGCACCTGCCGTTGCAGCAGCACGCCTTAATGTCACAAGCTTGACCTCGGCAAACCCCGGGGCTGAGTTAGCGAGCCCAATCCTTGACTCATCAAGGCGGGCGCCACCAACGCTGCACTCCGAGGCACAGCTCCTTGTGCCCCTACCATCACCACCTGCGTTGCCACACCCTGTACCACACCCGCCAGCATCATCATCCTCCTCCTCCTCCTCCTCCTCCTCCGTGCCGGTGCCTCCACTACAGCCGCTACCTAGCAGCACATCAACAGATACTATTGGGCCAGCAACCGCTCACAGACCAACAGCCCCAGATGATCTTGGGGTTAATAAACCCAACCAGGTGAAACTGGATCGTTATCCAGGGAGATTGTTTTCAGGAAAGAAGCGCACTTTTGCCACTGCATGGTACAACAACAGACCATGGCTTGAATATTCGGTAAAAGCAGACGCAGCCTTTTGTTTCCCCTGTAGACAGTTTAAAGTAAATACGTCTTCATCTGATGCGGCTTTTACTGTCAAAGGTTTTTGCGACTGGAAACACGCATTACAGACTGATAAAGGACTGCTAAGGCATGCCGCATCAAAAGAACACATTTCATGTGAGAGTTTGTGGAGAGAGAGACAGATACGCCAGGAAACAAATAAGGTGCCATCCTTAACCAGTGTGCCTTGCTCGTGATTTACTACCAGTGTTTGTGCTGCCACGCACACACTGTTTCAAAAGTTGTTTCTATGTTGCCCTTTATTTGTGTATGTATTTGCGATAAGTGTGCGTCTTTACGCAATGCTGTTGGCCTTGCTGTTTGATATATATTGTGCCGCAGGCCCGCAGCATATGACGGTTTTGTGTGCCCTCCCATGAAAATCATATGCCCTCCCTTTAGATTTGTTCTGGCGCCGGGTCTGGTTATGTTAGATGTCAATCCACT